AAAAATGATGTACAACAGTAACATGGTATTGTGGTTATAGTTATGTGGCAGTGGTTTAAATGTGTTCCTCAACCATGTCAGCCGGATAATAGAATAGTTGGAACCTGGTGGCAACTGTTCTAGCATGTGGCCTATATAATCCCCGAACTTCTATATTCTTCTATGAGTTACAACTACACCAATCACCCTTAAACAGATAATTTTCTATACATCTTCAAGAGTAGGCATCATCTCTTCGATGTTTATATTGAAGTGCCCGACATTCGTCTCTGCGTGCCACCTCTCGATTATCGTAGACAATGTGTCATGGTTGTAGCGAGTCATCAGAATTATGATCAAAGGATACAATCCTGATTTCCTGACCAAACCGATTTGATCATTGTTTGTTAAAGGCCATAAATTAGCTGCATTAGCCTTCCCATCAATCATGAGGGGATTTCACAAATCCTAAAATGAAATTTGTGATTTCAAATTATTAAAATAAATAAATTGATTAATCAACATGATAAATAAATAATATAATTTGAAACAATTGTACATACATCTCATTCTTAGATCTTTTGTGATATATGTTGTCTCTATGTATTGAGCAATGTAAGAATCGTAGGACCTCCAGGGCAGGGTGTGTTTTCTGCCATGATCCCTATTAAAAAAGCCATCATAAACAATAATCTCATGTTAAATAGACTACTACTAGTCTATCAGAGACCTGACCAAGGATATGACAAAGTAAAAGAACAGTGTAGGGGATATGTGGCTCCTGAATGGCACAAAAATCTGTCGATAACCGTCAAGGAAGGTTTGTATAGTTTTGGTATACTTTGAATTTGTCTATTGTTTCCGATTTGCCATGTCTTAACATAAGCCCAAAGCCCACAGTGATGCACAATAAAACCTCCCAATTTGACTTATTTATATTTTTTAAGCTAATTTTTAAGTAGGAGACAAATCACAAGTGATAGGTTTTCAAACTAGTTTTTAAGTTAGTAATAGAGTTAGTAATGGATTGAAAATAATTTATAGATGTCAATATGATAAGGTAAAATGACTAAGAGAAGGAACATGCTCTTACAAACATGCTTTTACTTGATGTGGGACAATGTAGGCATCAAGATATCAAAAGAAGGAGCTACAGAATCCCATTCAATAATAATTGGGATACAAAGTAATTAACAAGGCAAATAAGAAATCACTTTCATATATATTTTCATAGATAATTATGAAGATTTGTCGTGGTAAAGAAATTGTAAATTTGCTACAAAAATGTTATTGATATAATGTAGAACATGTTGGTTTCACGAGCATGATTACTACTCGTGAATAATTGAATGAACAAGAAATTTCAAGGTGGAGCAATTTCATGCTTATTTTGAACTCATAATTAAAGCTATATCAATCCAAAACAGCACAGAGCATTTATTTCAACAATGACAATACCAAAGTCTCATTCCACAACAAGCTAAAAAACAATAAAAAAAAACTCACCAAATTTACCCCAAATTAGAGAAAAAAACTAAAATTGGCAATATATGACGTACTTATCCTAAATTGATTGAAATACTACAAAGTATTCAAAATAATAAATTTGGAGAAAGATTTCTTACTTCAAAGGAAAATCTAATGAAGTGAGGGAAATGAGGGAGAAAGAAACTCACTGAGAGATTGAAGGGTAGAAATCTTGAAGTTGAGAAGAAGAATATAACCCTTAAAGCGGTAGAAATATAACCGTAGAGAAAAAATTGGTTTATGATAAAGGTTTATAAGGTATGATAGTATTATGGCATTTCGAGTGCCGTAATAAGAATTCAATTCCTTATGTAAAACCTAACGCATATCGTACGATATTTTAATTACCGTGTAAAATGTGATAGTTATTGTGGTAATACGACTACCGTGATGGTTATTTTGATAAAAAATATCGAAAATGAAAAAAAAAAGGTGTGGATGATGTTTATAAAAGTTGAAGGTTTTTTTTTTCCAATTAGACGAAGATTAAAGTATATTTCTGATAATTTTCTTAGAGTTTTTCTAATATTAGCACCTTAATCAAACTTGAGATGTAGTGATGCTAACCACTCAAACTCAAGCCTAATTTTAGACATGTTTATTACCTTTGAAATATATCTCCTAAAATTCCTCGAAGTCCCTATTCTTTTAAAAAGTCCTTCTAAATTTATGGCATTTTCAAAAAATACCCTTTACACCCTAAGCTCCATCTGTTTTTAGGGCACCTACCGTACTTTCTCTTTCAAGATAGGTCCTTTTTTGTTCTTACAATATGTGTCCATCTTTTAAGCGCAAGTCCAGTGTTTTAAAAAATGCCGAGTCGAACCGGACTCGCCCGGTTCGACTCGAAAATCGCAAAAAGTGGATCGTATCGGCTAAAAAATCGGAACGATTCTGTACAGTGACTAGCCGATTCACTGTACGGAATCGGCGAGTCCGAACAGTGAATCGGCAAGTCCCGTACGGTTAATTTTTTTTTTTTTTTTTTTTTTTTTTTTATTTTTTTTTTTTTTTTT